TACACACACACACACACACACACACACACACACACACACACACACACACACACACACACACACACACCAATCTTTCTCGAAAAGGCTTCATAATATCAGCTGTTTAACTATATCACTTAATCTACCAACCTGTTAGTTTGTCGGTAATTGGGATTGTTCACATCCTTACGGGATCTATTTGAGGTAATATATTTCACGATACTTTAAAAAATCTAACCTTTGCTATACATTACGTTCGAATTTGAATCTCGTTGCTATCTCTTTCCCTTCTCCTTCTATTTGTAAATGATCAATTTATTCTTATTATCTCAGTGAGTTCTATTGCAAATACTTCGCAATTGAATGAATTATCATTGTACTAATCATAGTTGTGATAAGTTGTAATCAGCTATCATAACTGTATAAGGCTCTGTAATCACTCTGTAATCACTGTAATCACTTGTAACCAACTGTAATCACTCCTAAACATCTTTAACCACCTCTAATCACCTATAATTTTCAGGATCTCTTTCAAGATTATCTGATGAATAAATTAGGTCCGTTATTGATTACATTACGTGCTAGATTTATCGGTCGATCGTCACCACCATCCATTCCTGTTAGTTTCGAATGTTCAAAAGTCGACTCAATACCTTATACTCTACCATTTGGTATACTTAAGGTTTGTTTGCTTCCTAAATAAATGATCAGTTTTTCATCAAAGTGAAAAATCTCTGCAGCTTACAATGCACCTATAATTGTAATTGTAACTGTCGAAGTCTTTTTTTTTAAGGAAGAAGTTAAGAGCTTCAAACTTATTTTACTACATTTTCCTAACTCATGTTTATCGAAAAATATCCCATAATTTGTCCATTTTTTTTGTTTATCTGTTAAACAGAATTCATTACAGTTACTTGCTGTTACAACTTCATCAATCGGACTTGGTGCATTTTTAGCAAAAGAAGCGGCACAATTCTTAAAGAGTAATAAACTGTATGTTCCAAAGGAAGATGATTAAGATCAAACTATTTGTTTAAAATTTCATTACATTTACAAATGCCTTTGTATTTTAATTGGCATTTCAAATAGTAGAAAATTCGAATTTTGATATCTTTTCTTGTTGCAAATGCAATATTATACATTTATGAAGTATTAATATTTCTCACCAAAAGAAAAAAAGAAAAGAAAAGAAAAAGACAAAAGACGAAGAAGGGTTAAATTTATTTATTCAGAAAGAATTTTTCTTTTCCAATCATTACAATTTAAATACGCCAAAACAAATCTCAAAAGATGTGGTTTTTTCTCCCACGTATAATCATTAGTTGTTTATGTCTATGCGAGCTTATCCGTTATTTTCATTTGTCATTTTCATTTGTCCCCCTTTTTTCGGACAATATTTTTGCGTTTAAAAAATTTATCTGTTTTTGTATTGATAATAAAAGTTGCCCCAAACTTTTTTTTTCCTTTCTTTTTAATCCCAGTTTGATTACAACGTCAAATAAGTGCAAATGATGGGAACAAATGCCAAAAAATAAGGGACTTGCTTTTGTTATGTTTCCATTGTTTTTCATGTGGGGAACAGTTGGAATTCTATTTCCTAAATTTTACAATTCATGAAAACAAAGAAATTAATGCAATACAAATGAAAATAACAAAAAAATTCATCTATCGAATATTCAGTCAGAGCTCATAATCAATTCTAGAGGTCACGCTAATGGATTTTGCATAGCAGAGGTCAGTGGTACTTCAGTATTCTCTTCAGATCGGCTACATTACGATATCTTCTGATATATACTTTATTCAAAATTCGCCCGAATTTCATCTCCAATAATTTTCCAATTGAAATTCCATACAAATCATTTCAAAAATTTTAAACTTTTACAACACGTTTATACACACAATCCAAATTCACCATTTTTGTATATAATCAATTAAAATGATCAAGTTTGTTATTGTTGTCCCATTTGGCTTATTCCTTCTGGCATCTACATGGAACGATTGGGATCGTGTACCATTTGAATTTAGGTACGAGCACAGACCAGGTGAGATCTAACAGTTCTTTTTCTTTGGGCAAGACAACCTTTAATAAAATCCAGATCTGAGTTTCAAATCTAGTATGCACATTTCTCCTTTTCTAATAGTATTTCTGAACAGAGCAATGATTACAAGCAAATCGATTCCTTGCTTTCACGGTAATTCTAGATCATAAAAAAAGTTTTAAGGGGGGAAAGAAGAATGTTTCAACTTGAAATTATTACCAATTTTAGATTGGTGCGTTGATGAAGATCCATTATGTTCAACGTTTAAAAGTTGGTGCATTAGTGCTAATAAAACTCGAGAAAATTATATGAAGAAAGCTTGCCGACGGACATGTTATATGTGCTATGAAGGAATGAACAATACGAAAACATGCTATGATAAAGAGGACAATTGTGCTACACGGGTTCAATCGAATTTTTTTTTTTTTTCAGAAAATAACTTTCAGAAATGACAACGGAAAAATGCCTTTTTTTTTTTCCTCGAAAAAATTGTGAAGGAAAAAAGGACAAATCGTCCAGAAAGAAACCTGGATCTGAAACAGGTCAAAACTGATAAATGGGCGAAACTGGTTTTGAATATTTTCCTGTCCTTCTCAACGAAAATTTTTATGCAATACAAAGTGCAGCACAGTTAGATAAAGCAACACACGTACAGCGCTTCTGTATATTGAAGAAATTCTTTCATGCTTTTTTTTTCCAGGAAATTGAATGCTTTTCTGAGGCAACTGCTAAACGCATGTATCATTTGTGTCCAGAAACATGCGGGTTTTGCAACAATGTTTGCGCGGATTTGGCAACAAATTGTGCTGAATTAACAGATTATTGCATGTTTTCCTATTGGCATCAGGCAGTGATGCAATCGAGATGTCGTTTGACATGTTCATTTTGCAGGTTTCACCTTTTCGATTCATTTTCCTAGCTGCAATAGACAATGAAATGCAGTCTTTAAATTAGACACTGGAATATTGCTAACTTTTAGTAGTCATTTTTATTCTAGTTGTAAATCGACTATTCCTTGTTTACTCATTTATTTACAGGTAGATCTTTATCCACCAAAACTCCATTACAAAATTCAGTGCTTTCCCTCCTTCCAAGCAAACTGATACTGTAATTCTTACTCTGCCTACCATAAAATCAGTTAACTTCCGCATTTTTCAGAGTATACAATCGAGAAAATTTCGAGCCTGTAGATTGTTCAGATAACTTGAGCTACTGTAGATACAGGAGGAATCTTTGCGAGCGCATTGAGCACCAGCGAGAAATGCGCATAGATTGTCCCTATACATGCAACTTCTGTGACTTGATCGAAACTGAAGCTGATATACCGACAGAATGTAATGATGCAGAACTAGATTGTAGCAGGAGGAAACATTTATGTTACGTAGAGGGACGTCACAGTTATTATATGTGGCGTAACTGTAAACGTACGTGTGGCTATTGCCCTGAATATAACTTTATTAACACTACGACAGACGACGCTTATGATCCTTACTACTATTATTAAGTTTTTTGATATTGATTTCCCTGATTGAAAATGTCGGACCCCATTCAGATTCTTTTGCCTTTTAATGCAATGGTCCCTAGCCTTCTCTTAACCAGGGACTACTTTGGCTTTTCTATTTGTAGCATGAAAAAAGATTCGATAATAATAAATGCTGTTAAGTGAAAAATAAACTTTAATCAAAGTCTCTAACGAATTAGTTGAACTTACAGTAACATTATAATATAAAAAGAAGAAACAATTTTAATAGAAAATTCGATTTGGCTTCCATTAATGTAATATTTGAGCTTGCATCTTCTTTACAAGTTAGGTAAATCTGAGGCTAATACTAGTGCTTAAAACTGTACCATAACATCACTTGCTTCCAGTTGATTTCTGGCCTTATTTTTAATTACAAACAAAGCAGAAAATTCTTAAGGGGATTCTTAAGTGAATTCTTAAGTGACTTCTTCCTGGATTTCTTCTGCAACCTTTTAAACAGTAATATCAAAAGAATTGCGGATCAGCTTTTGGGCACCTTTCGATTCAGTCCAGTTATATTCCGGAAAGTAACGACGGAATTCTTCGGTGAGCATTTGCAGATGACTTTTGATGTTCTCTTGTAGATTCGCGCTGATCATGTCATATTTTTTAACATCGACTACTGCTTTCAATGTTGCAAACGTAGCATAATTGTTTTCGAAACTTTACTTATCTATAATTGAAGTTCATAAATGAAGGCAAGAAGTTCACCTTCAACAAAAATGTCCCCCACGTCTTCTAAATTTGTTACCAAAACTTTGTAACTGCAAGTTTAGTTTATTTAAATGTACAAAAATATTTGCAAGATAAGCCAACTGTACCTGACTTCTCAGATCAGAAAACTATTTCAGTAAATCTTCAATTTTTTTCCCGGCCAAGAGCTCAACTTTTCCTTTTAGTTCGTATAACCTTCCTCAACATATTGCCTTTCGACAGCGAACGAACTTCAGTATGGGAAAGAAGTATCTCATAGTCAGAGTTTGTTTCAGCGAAGAGTTTTTTTTAAATAGGCGTGTATTGAAGTCACTGCTTTTGATAACCACTTTTCTGGCCATCTCCATTATATCAGCAAAGCATTTGTAGAAGGATTTTTCTACTTTGTTAATGTTGCTAGACCGGAGTGTGGTCCTAACATAGCTGGAGGATCATCCGTACAGAAATCGGTTTTTCCAAATAATGTTACGTTTCTCAAAATATTCCGCTACTATATTCATGACGTCGATAATTTTCGACGTCGTCTTAATTCCCGTGAAGCCAATAATTCCTCTTTAATACTGTTGTAAACGTCTAGAAAGTTCTTTTGACAAGCACGAGTAACTAATTACAGTTAAAAATGTCGGTCGGTTCATCACACCGTAACGTGAAACATGGTAAATTTTTAATTTTTGAAGCATTTTTCGCGTTGTTTAGTTCCATCCCTAAAACTTCTTCGACAGCTTCGATCAAACAAGGTTTCACGAGTATTTTTCCTTTCGTGTGTTGTTTTTTTGATTTCGCTATCACTTTCGATATCTCGAACGATGCGACCAATTTTTTTGCCGATGACGCTATTTTCTGGAAATAAACAATCAAATAGCGGCTTGAGAGACTTCTCCTTCAGAATATCGATTTATGAAACTAAAACTACGTTAGAAATAAGATTATTAGAATATTATAGAATAAGTAGTAAAAAATGAGAGGAGGAAATCAATCGAATAGGATGATGAAATACTGCAAGTAAAATTAAAGCGAAGAGGAACACATAAAGTAACAAAGGCGTGACGTCACAACAGTACAAAATTGCAAGTCAAATAAACCTCTATCATCCACAAACGAATCGACGTATAGCTTGAAAAAAACACAGAAAGAAAAGAAAACATCCTCTCCCCCTCAGCACACGGCCACCTTCATGGTCCATATTTTAATTCAATGGATCACCAGTTGAGAACCACTGTTCTAACACTGCCTTAATTATGAATAAAACGAGCAAATTCCTCTTATATATCTTGATAAACATATTATCAGCTTATGCGAACTTGATGAGATTACTTATCCTCGTAAATTCGATTAAGAATATCATCTAATTAGGTGAACACAAAAGAAGCATGAAATTTTTATGTAAATTCAAATGAAGACATAGCTTGTCACATGTTCTTTGACAATGTCACCTGATGATGAGAATTTAATAAATACAAGCATACATAAACCTGAATAGCTTAAGTAAAGATATTGCGTAACCTTAGTTATTGCACTTACATGATTTCCTATGCATTGTTCACATGAAAACAATTAAACATAAGCCCACGATTTGCACAAACACTCCCAACAGCTTGAGAACAAAAGAAACTCTTAATTCGGAAGCCTCGTGTTGAGAACGATGCGTTTGCATTTCGGGGCATTAGGACGAATTTTGATTGGTGTAAAATTCGCAATGCTATCCCGGCAGCATGGATTGTATGTGTGAGTTGAATGCTCCTGTTAGGATTGCGCCTGTTTTTTTCGCAACATTTTTCGTTCTGGGTATTGCGCGGGTGTGCGTAAGGAGTGATTGGGAATGTAGGGGTGGTGTGGGTGTGTGGAAGTACTGGAAAGAGCTTTGACTAATATTTAGTTCACGTTTTCGCTAATTTACTAATTTTAGCTACATCCCACGTGACTTTAGTGTTACAGTTATTCTTCTGTTTTGCGTAAGGATGGGTGAACCAGAGGATGTTGATGCGATGCTTGAGGAGGCGCTTGACAAAATTGAAGATGTAAGTGTAATTTTGTTTCTTTGGTTGGGAAAGTGTTGCTAAACTTGTTTATGGGTGTGGGTAAACGGACCGTGGAAACATATGATGAGACCAAAAAACAAAACAAATGCTAATACAACATTAGTGGTTGTTCGTACAGTAATCATTGTGTTTCGTGCAATGTTCCACTGCCTTTTAAGTTTCTTTAGTATAAATGGATTGATTATCATTCGAATCAGATTTTTTCTGCATCCATGATGGGACCAAGTTTTCTCGAGGAGTAGTTTATTTGATGTGAACATTATAAGCTTTTTATTTTCAAGATTTCCCTGGGAAACACAGTTGGAGGGGATAATTCTGACTGCTTTTTTTTTTCAGTCCGATCGAAATTACGGTCATGGACACGCAGAACCAATGGCAGCATTGATACGGGGTGAAGTACTGAAGAAAGAGGAACTATCCGGCGAAGGTGGTGAGGAAACACCTAATGCAGCCAACGGTACGGAAAAAATGGATGCAGAGGATGGAACGACTTTGTCGCAGAGCAAGAAGAAGAAAGACAGCAGTGAACATAAGAAGCGATCTCGTTCCAGGTCTAGGTAGGTCAAAAACGAATGAAAAAAAATTTTTTCCTACCAGTAATTTTGCTTCTTTTCCGTTGATCTTTGAGTATATGTTTATTTCAGCAGCCTTTGTAGACAACACCTCACAGGGTGAAAGGAATTCAGAACTGTTGCAGGAATTCATTTCCAGATCTTTTATAAGTGATGATGGTATGGGTGCGTGCTTTCATTTACCAATGTCTTTTTTATATATTTTTCGTCTCTATACAAATTAGGTGACCGCCTTCCTCGAGTACTTATAGAAGCCGTGGCGGTTCTGGAAAGCTACTTTTCTAATTCTTTGGTACTTTTTTCTTTAAATAGTGTTTGTGCAAACACCTCTTTTATGGGACAAATTTATAAGCTTTTTCCACCAAATTAAACGAGCCCTACTACCCTACCGTTAGTGACGAGTTGTTTTTTCCAGTGGTTGCCTTAGATTTCCCAAACTGGGATTTGCTGAAATGGAGCTGTTTCGTTCCTTTCACTGCATAAATTCTTGTGGCATTATGGCCTGTCTAATGTTAGCTAGTTTCCGGTAGTAAATCAGTTTTTCACAGGAAATAAAGGATTTGGAATTCCTAGAAGTACGGCAATGCATATCCGTATCTAACGTTATTTGACGGACTTGCCGTGCCTGCGACTAAATCTGGAAGCCACAAATGAGTGCAGAAATAATAAGCAATTAAAACCGTAATTTAAGTCGAATCGTCGTTGTAGAGTCATAAAATCGATTGATACAGCTCTGTGTCACCTTATACCTTCTGCATTATAATGATGAACAAAGCTCGATCGATGTTTCGGGAAACTGTTTGCTTCTTGTTGGAAACTGAATGAGGATGAATTGAAAATTTGGACGATGAGGTACGCGAGAATGTCGTATATGTGTTGATGCCTATCAGTGCAGTCGGAGTGCGCCGCCCCTTCATCTCTATCATTTTGTTTCACGGAAAGTAATATATTTCCCAAAATAAGGTGTTTCGACATACTGTTGAAACTTTTTTGAAGTACTGTCAAAACTGGCTGGCGCGCTCCAAGTGTTACAGGCATAACACGATGTCATGTGGCGTTATGGACGACTAGAAGCACTGGATCACTTCTCGTCTTCATTCCACTTCTGTCGTTCTCCCATGAGTATCAGATATTTCGACTCCAACAAGCTTACATTTGCAGTTTACCAATGAACTTGTGTTTTTCTACAATACTTTTCAGGAATTATTTCCCACAATTCCTGCTTTTAATTATATAGTTTTTGGCTTTTTCGTTTTAATATCTCCATGATTACAGATCTTCCTCTCGTAGCCGTTCCCGCAGCCGTGACAAAGATAAGGAGAAAAAGAAGCGACGCAGAAGTTCAAGCCGCGATCATAAGAAGAAATCTCGGTTAGTGATTTTGGAATAATTCCACTCTTCTCATTCTCTTGACCTGTGAATAGTTGATCAGGGGTGAAGTGCATGCTACGGATTTCAACGATTGTAACGAAATGATCGATGATTCTTTGTTGCATTGAATAAGGCTTTATATACTCTGCTTTTTCAGATTTGTTCATGATGAAAATCGGAGAGTCTGCTCCTTTCCTTTGTTCACAGTAGTGCATGGGTAATCTAACAAAATAATGACTGTTCTCTAATAATAATCTGCAGTGCAACCTTAATTATTGATAGATAACTGCAACCTTTATTCTCACGTCATGAATGCATATACTGATGTTAGTGACGAATCATGATTTACTATATGAATGTATGTATATCGGAATGTAAACTGATCAGAACAGTTAAGTTCGAAGTGATTTTTTTTAGTTCACGTTCAAGGTCGCGCAGACACAGCTCGCGTAAACGCAGCCATTCTCGTCGTCGATCACGGTACTTTTTCCTCATCTTTTCAATTCTTAAAGTAAATGTTTAGAGTAATAAGTAAAATTGAAATTGTCTTGCATCTGCGAGTCTTGAAAACAAGCGGCTCCTGACTCTTGTTTCTTTAAGCCGATATTCTTTTTATTGCCCAAGCAAAGATTTTGACGCGTATTGTCATTTAATACTTGAGTGAGTATTCAGATGGGGTACGTTATGTCTATTTGGAATTTTACTGTGTTTTATGCAGCATTACTGGAAATTCTGGCTTGGGTACTTTTTGCGTCAATATTTTTCGGGATGTTATTGGAACTGTTGGCATCGTAATATTTGATTGTAGTTCGAGAGATCGTCATCGCCGTTCGAGATCACGTCGACATTCGAGATCGAGATCACGTGATCGCAGGCGACGGTCGCGGTCCAGGGAGCGCAGACGAAGAAGCCCATCATGGTGATTTTTTTGGCTTTTTTTTTAAAAAAATTGATAATTTCTTGTCAGAAATGTGGAAGAAAATTAAAATCAAGGAGTTTTTTTATCATAGGTCACGACCTCGTGTGCTTGATCATCGTGATCGCCGTGGATTCTCCCCACCATGGAGGCGTTCACCACCTCGTGGACCACGTCTTCCAGGGCCTGAAAGACGCGACGTGTAAGTTCCTAAAATCTAATATGCTTAACCATCAACTGAATTTGCTTCGTTGAAACGCTGTTGCACTGGTTTGCCTCGGGATTTACATCCATTACGTCTGATAAAATTATAAAATTAATTTTCAAGGATGCCATTTACTGCACGTCGTTCGCCACCTCCAAATGCAAAAATGGATATGACGTCTGAAGAACGTGACCAGCGTACTGTGTTTATACTGCAGGTAATTCTTGCATTTTCATTAAGAAACTGTATAGTCTTGTCCTCTGGTAATTGTAGTTACAGAATTTAAAAGTTTTTGTCATAGAATGTTCGAAAACAAATGTTTTAGATAGCGAAGGAAACTCGACCACGTGATCTGGAAGAATTTTTCTCCAGCGTTGGACATGTACGCGATGTACGAATCATTACAGATTCAAAAACTCGACGATCAAAAGGAATTTGTTATGTGGAATTTTGGGAAATTGAAAGTGTTAATTTGGTTAGTAGTTGTTTTAGAGAATTAAAACACACGGCTACTGTTCCGCTTACTGAGACTCATATGTTGTTTTAAATACTTTTTGTAGGATTCCTAATTGCAAATCTTTTGCTTAGTATTTGTGTGCCAAGTTAAATTAATTCTCTTCGACATTCTACCCATCTTTAGAAAAGTTTCGGAAGTTGGACTTGCCAACACCAAAGCTTCAAAATTCTAGGTTAAAATTTTGGAATTTACCGAACTGATTAATAACAGTATTTAAATATGTTATGGAACAAATAAAAATTTGCTTTTTGATCGAAATTTCACTTCATGTTCCGTGAATTTTCAATGTTATTCGTCTTTGTTCTCAGGCTCTTGCCCTAAATGGGCAGAAATTGCTCGGCGCGCCTTTAGTAATCCAGCCAACGTTGGCTGAGAGGAACCGTGCAGCGAACAACACCGTTGGTGGAACACTTGGCTTTGGTCCTACAAACACCACGGGTCCACTGAAACTTTATGTTGGCCAGTTGCATACAAGTATAACGGAGGATATGTTAGGAAGGATTTTCGATCCATTCGGAAAGGTACATTTTGAGTGTGCTGGTTCTTTGCCATTCATTAGTTTATTTAATGCATTCCTCCGAATAACCTATTGCAGATCGAGAACCTGGAAATTGCAACCGATCTCAGTGGTGTTTCCAAAGGATATGCATATGTCACGGTATATTTAGTTAATTGTTTTGTCGAGAAAAAACTGAAAAACTTCCGGTTTTTCGAACTTTTCAAACTTTATAAGTTTGTCTAAATGGTGGTTATCAGAATGCTCTTTTCAGTTCCGACATGCAGATGATGGTAAAAGAGCCATGGAACAAATGAATGGTTTTGAATTAGCAGGTCGCCCAATGAAGGTAGTTTGATTCAATTTCACCCACTGCATTTTTTGGACGATATATTTCAGCCAAACTTCCATAGATTTACAAGAGAATGCTACATAATTTCATGCACCATCCACTTGCGTATGCCTATGAAAATTCAGTAGAAAGTGTGCAGATTTCAAATTCTTTAGATGAAATTTCAATGTTACTTTTGAAGTATATTTATAAAACTAGGCACCAAAGTGAAGTCATGTGGAATCTTTTATATTTTAGGTTTGCTCTGTTGAAGGAGATGAACTACCACCACCAGTTCCTCAGCGGACACTTGATACTGATGATGCGGACAGACGTGGTATTGATTTAGGGACGAGCGGTCGTTTGCATCTGATGGCTAAATTAGCCGAAGGTATTACTTTACAATTTTGTATTCGTATATATAATCTTGGCTTTTTATTCATTGCAGCAAAGTATTCTTGTACGAAATATGCACAACTGTAAAAAATAAAATCTTTTTGTAAGTAGTATAAAGCTTGAACAGTATTTTTGTGGAAGGACTGACATTCGTGTATTGCGGAATGTTCGAATTCCTTAATATCTTCATTTGAAGCTGCCATTTCCGGTCATAATATCAGCTAAATAATTGTGATTGTTGCAGATACGAAATAAATTTTCAAGATACACTTTTATCATGGTAGCATTAATTTTTGTAACAAAGTCCAGTTCTAAGAAAATGATCAAGTTGGTATTTCTTTAACTTGTGCACTTTATTTTTTGCTTTCGAGTGTTTAATGGATTCCAGGAAGCGGCTTAGAATTACCGAAAAGTGCGAAGGAAATATTAGCACAAAATCAGCAGCAGTTGGAGAGTGCCACTGCTACAGGTCCTGCTATTCCGCCTATTGCAACGCAGTGCTTTATGCTTTCTAACATGTTTGATCCATCTCAGTAAGTAAACTCACATTTTCTGGCTTATTCAGCTTTCCAAGGAAAAAATTTGCACGAAGGTTCTGAAGACCAGTGTTGCACTAGGTAGAATTGTTTTTTATGAAATTATTAATGTTTTTATTTCTGCAGAGAAACGGGTGAAACTTGGGCTGATGAAGTACGAGATGACGTTATAGAAGAGTGCGCAAAGAACGGAGGTGAGTCATTCTCTACACTCACTCTTGCAATTTTTATTTAATATGAATACCGAAGATGAAATAAAATGAAATGAATTGGGGGACGAAAATAGAATAAATGGAATTACCGATCTTGCAGGAGTACTGCACATATTCGTCGACAAAGCTTCCCCAAATGGCAATGTTTATGTGAAATGTCCTTCTGTAGCTGCCGCTTTCAAATCAGTGAATGCGCTACATGGGCGATGGTTTTCAGGTTTTTGTCTAATTCGTTTATATGGTAAAATAGGTCACTTATTTATTTTTGTTGCTATCATTACTTGTGCATTAAATTTTTTGGTACGGTGGATCACTGATTTACTTAATATCCCGTTGGACAGAAGAAAAGCATTAACATACGCGTTCTTTGTTACAGGCAAAGTAATCACAGCCAATTATGTTCCGGTCGCAAGCTATTCACAGTTGTTCCCAGATTCAGTTGTTGCACGAGAACCTATTCTATCAGCCGTAAAACCGCCAATTATAGCAGCTACCATCCCAGGTGTCGGTTACTGAAGGACATTCTTTTGCCGTTGTTCAGGAAGGTTTCCTTTTTCTATTTGATGTGAATATTGCGTTGTTCATTTTTCCAATTTGTTCATCTTGTTATACGTTGGTATTTTGATATGTCCTTAAAACCTGAAAGCACCTTTCTTTGTCAAACTTGCAGTTACTGTAGAATTAAGCCACTGGAGTATCATTTTTCAGGAGACTCGGCAAATTCCATCCCATGGGCTAATGCTTCTGAATATATGCTCTTCAGGTTTTAGGGTTTTCCTTTTGCTTTTGTTCTACTATGATATGAGATTACTTTCTCCAGCATCTTACCGCTCCATGCAAAATATCACCAGAAGTTCAAATTATAATACTATTTCACTTTAGTGGAGATCGGAAAAATATACCTTGAAATAACTGAACATGTCTATATCGTCATGTTGTGTTGCCAGAAGGTTATTGTTAAAGTCTGGATATTGAAATATTCATCGCGAAGTGAAGAATATTTGTATGGTCAGCTGTCCAACTCTGAACTATCCAGAATTGAATAAGCTATCCTGATTCATTGTCCATTTACGTTTCAAACGAAATAATTTCGTTTTAGTTGTGCATCAAAAAGAATATTTCCATTGCAATGTGTATGGTTTCCTGTGAACAACTACATATTTGATACTAATTTTCATTTCTTTTGTTATCCTGTTCCATCGGATACTTTTCCGTTTCAAATTTGTGTTACTCGTTGTGATGAAAATAAGTGAAACGTTGTGTTCAACTGAAGTTATCAAAGACATTTTGTGACTAAAGTGATTCTAAAGTCAGTATGTATTTTCGGGACAATATCTAGTATTAACTTAAGAGCTGAAATCAATCGTGGAACTTCAGCAGTTTGCAGATCTATGGATTGTATTGTGAACTGGGAGTAGATAGATCTGGTTGGTTTTTCTGTTGTGAACCATAAAGTTGATCTTTTATTAGCCACGCTGTCAAAATTGTCCTTTCATTTCGCACAGTAGTTAAGTGCGAAGTTTACTGGGCACGTTATTTGTCATTATTTTGGAAAAGATTGCTAATAATGGTCATTATATCTTTTGTTTCATTCATTACCTGAATAAGAATTGTCTAACCATAGTCGACCAAATTCTGATAGTTCTTCCTCTACCTACTTTTTCTTGGAAAAAATTTTACACTGTGTTTTGACAGCGCTGAATTGTTTACAAGTCTAGTCGGACTTCTTGACAAGTGTCCAGTTACGAACGAATTTTATGCCAAATACTTTGGAAACCATGCAGGTTGTTAGTACTGGTTACTCTTATCCAGCATACGATTTTTAACGTTTGGTATGTCGCGTACTGTGATTTTATAACATTCAATATCTCAATGGTGGGAGGGAATTTAGAATACGATACTCAGCCTCGTTCTTCTAATCCTTCCTCCCTTTTCTCCTCCATATTCCATCTCTTTTCCATATGAAGAAATATTTATTCACTGGTCTGCAAATACTGTAGTATTTGATGAATTTTCTTCCTGAATTACTGAATTTGTCCATTTTCTACAAATGTTCTGGAAATTGCCAATAAACTTTGTCTGAAGTTAGGAAACATATAGAAATTAACGAAGGAATAATTGCGCGATGGAAAAAAAAAGTGAGAATCAGGAAAAAATAAATTTGGAATCAGTCATATGGGGGAGATTTCATAATAGAATAGTTGTGTTCGCATCAAAATGCATGGGTGGATCTCATTGGCGCACAACAGAAGCATTGTGGTATGTCGTTCGATGAAGATGTAATGCTACCGCCAATAGGTATTAAGCCAGGCAATACCGCTAGCTGTTCTGCATTTTGCATCTTGATGGATGGTTTGATAGGATTTGCCTCAGTCGAAGTGCCAGTTTTTAAGGCCTGGAATTAAGTAGACTGTAATAACTGGTACTAAGCCACATTTGATTCCATTATTCTGCTTTGTAGATGTTCCGAACTGACCCTTCTTTTTCGAAGAAGTGATACGCGTGGAGGTTTCGGATAAGTCTGTATGGGTGGCTTATTCGGATCGAATGCAAACATTATGCCGTGTACTTCATCCTGAAATTGAGAATCAGTTATACAGGAGGGATTTCATAATGGACCAGTTGTGCGGCAAGAACTGACTCGAAAGTATGTCGAGCCATATCAGATACTACAAAATTAGCAAGTGATTTTCAATTCAAGCATGGAAAACGAACAACTGAGGTAGTATAGTGTCGTGCAGCAATCTTGCAGCAAGTATTACACGAATTTTCGTTAGCAGTCGCTGTAAATCGGCAAAATTCTCGCATCAGTTTGTTTGATGGTTCTCCTACAGGAAGAACATTAATAGTTTCTTGAACTGTAATGAGAAAGAAAGTGTTGCAGTTTTTCTTGCTTTCTAATCTTCAACATCAATTTTTTGCTCTCAAGGCAAGATGACAATTTCATTTCATACCCAGTAACGCAGTGAGACTGAATGTAATTCATTCAACTTAGAAATATTTCAAACTGCTATTTATTTTGTGAATCTGCAAGGTAATAGAAATAATACAAATAAATTAATTGCCTTATACCTGTTCCTAGTGCGAATGATCCATGTGCCGAGCAATAAAATTCTGAAAAATTTACAATTTAGAATTCTTAGGATACTATGATTAAAATGCTACTAGTAAAACATACTACTTCACCCACACCACATATTGAAAACATTTACCTGAATTTATTTCTCTAAAAGTTCCAAATATTATTACTCAATAATAATGACTAATAAAATTGGTTATTTTTAAATTTTAGTTAAAAACTGAAATAAAGCATACGATCAAGCGCAAGTGGTACTGTATTACTGCATGATGCCGGTGGATAACAGGATGTATAAGGATAATAGCCTGGTGGAGCATAACCATATGGATAGGAGAATGGTATTGTTTCACCGTACATTGGTGATATTGGTTGTAATGGTTGTAATGGTTGTAGTGGTTGTGGTTGTGGTGGTGGTGGATACCAATGTCCTTCTCCAGTTTCATTCTTCACTGTGATTGAGATGTTTCGCTAAGATAAAACAAAAGGATTAATTTCTATTTTTATACCAAATATATTTCCAAAATAAAAATTTTTAATTCCAAAAAATAATAAAATGAAAAATAAATAAGCCAATGAATAGTTAACATTGAATATGTTAACATTTAAAGGATGAATTTTTATTCTGCAAACCTGTGGTAGCATAACTGAACAGACATTTCCTAAAATTGAAAACAAAACGAGCAGAAGCAGTAATGACATTTTGTTGCTACTTTGTGAAGCTTTTTTTAGGACACGAAATAAACATTGATGAAAAAATCAAACTATTTATTACTTTCTTTTATCAATGGGCGGTTCATTGCACATAATCTGTTTGTTGCATATGCTATTATTAGGAAAAAAAATTTCCTTTTTTCTTTTAAACAATTTTATGATGCAATTCCTTGAATTTGTGAAATCAGAACAAAATTTTCGGAATGAATCAAATTTTGCTACAAAATACTTTACCACAGCATTTTTAAAATGATTCAAAAATAGCATATTTTTTTTCAAATTTTAAATTACTTTACTTTAGAGATCAAAAAGTCAATGAAAAAATATTTACTGAAAATATGATTTGCTCAGTAGCTTTAAAATACTGTTTGATAAGGAATGATATGAAATAAATAGGGCATTAAGCTTTATTATTTCATTTAATTTTTCAATGTTTATTTTTTTCTTTTCTTCTTTTTCAATGCATAGTTGAAATCGAACAAAAAAGCCAAAACATTTTATAAACTGTTATTTCATTTCAACACAAGAATGTTTGGTAGGGAAAAATGAATATAAGGAAATTTATAATTTTAAATTCCAAGTCAAAATTTTGCATTTTGAGGAAACCGAAATGTAAAGACATTGCAATTTTTATTAGAATAATTTTTTCCATTTCTGTTCTTCTACCCCTTCTCCTTCTTTTTCTTCACTTTTTCTTTTCTTTTCTTTCTTTTTTTTTTTTTTTTTTTTGGAAAATAGTGGTACTGGAATTCACACATACCATGGTAACATTTGAAACTAAGTGATAGTATCATGTAGAGACTTTTATCATTTTATCAATAGTTTCAAGCGTAAAATGAAATAGGACGCATAAGAATATATTAAGTTTGTGTTTGACCGATCATCAATCTATTATAATATTTATCAGTTGAGAAATAATATTGAATTCAAATATCGAAATATAGCGAAGATATGGAGATAAGAAAAGAAAGAAAAAAAAAACGAATACTTAGAAATGCTACAAAATGATTTCATCGTAATATTTACAAATTGTGATTTTCTCGTCTGATATGGTTAAGACGAGAAATCCTGAAAAGAAAGGGAAAAAAAATTAGCGAAGATTTTCACAAGCTATCAAGAAATGCGATTATAGATGATCATAAATTATATTCAAATATCTCACGTTATTATGAATCATTACGGGAAATAAGAAGTATGAATTGTTCTGTTATATTGCTATTTTTCTGATACATTGATAATTCCGGAAATTTTTTAAAAATTTCAATTAATAAAAATTTAGCATATCAGTTTAAATTGAATCAATGCAATTTATCGATCTTTTAATACAGCATGAAGTAAATAAAACAATAGATTAACCTTTTATTTTACATTTGAATATTTTATAAAAAGTACTTTCAAAATTTGTAAAATTTCAATAGCGTCGACGAAAGACAACTGTCCAGAATAAGTTGTATTTTTTGTACTATTAATGTAATAAACAGATTGATAAGGTTATTTAAATTTTAACTGGTTTTTATATTATAACAATAATGATAACAACATCATCAGTAATCATTATCGTTGCAACTATATACCATCACTACAACATGCATTAATTCTTATCACTTTTTCTATTGCCCCAGTAATCATCTATAACTGTGATAATCATTATTTCGCTTATTATCATAACAATTATCACCATCTCATTTATCACTAACATTATCATATGTTGTTACTATACATTGAGAATACTGTTATTACATATATGATTAGAAACTCACATCTGATATTTTTTGTGAATCATTGCTTTTGAAAAAACTTTTTCAAAGTCTGAAGATAATTATTCTATTGTTCTCTACGAACGTTCCACTAACTTTTCTTCGCACATATAAACAATTATGTGTTAAATGATAAATGATATTGTTATGCATCATTTAAAATAATATAATGAGAAAATTTCTCAAATTCAGAAGAGAAATGCATACAGCAAGGTTTGTTCTTTCATTATATTACGCTTTTTTTTTTAATAAGCATATTAATTGTTTGAACCATAAGCAGTAATTAGATGTAATAAATCTGATTACGATCAACTGGAGAATTACTTTCAAATTTTGATTTAAAAAGAAAAAGAAAATTACACCATAATAAGTAAGAGAGGCAAAACTCGTCGAACTGATTTTAAAAAAAAAATATTTTGAGAAAATTCCAAAAGCCCCGCCCCAAGTCTTATTATTTTCACATATAAAAATTAGCTGCGCTTTTGCAGTCATTTTTTTTTTGCAATTATAATAATATATCTCAAACAAATGCATTCGATTTGGAACACCGCAATTACTGTACTTTTCCTATTCGTTACTGCTGAAAGATCTGATGTAAGTTAGTAGGTTCATAACTTCAAATTATCTAATTAATAACTTTAAATTATTTCCAAATTTCAATCTAAAAAGAAGCTATAGTTTCTTTGGTATTTCAAATTATTAGACTTACAAATCTGCTGGGGTTTCAATCCATTTACTTCGTAACATTTTGAAAACTTTAAAAGAATTCTAATGATTTCGTCGTTTTCAATTTCTAGAAAAAAGTTACTAGTAGAAAGTATACTCCAAAGCCTTAAAGTGATTTTGATAAAAGTTTGAATTATTTAATACTGTCATACTTTACAGGCAGCACTGAAAAATCGAACCGGCGAAGGTCATTTTTACTGGGGACAACCGTTTGGGATACCGCAATGGCCAAGACAAGGCTGGGTACAACCACAAAACTGGATGCAGCCTCAAGGTGGAATTTCTTCACAGGGATGGGCATTACCCCCAGGTTGGGTACCATCATCAGCTCAGCCAACTCCATCACCATTTTTGTGGAATCTTTTTGACGACAGTAAGTGCAAATTTTCAAACTCGCCAAATTTAAATTAATCACAAGTTCTGCTCATTATTTATAACTGTAACAATGCAAAATGGGAAATGAGTGAAACCATCTCTATAATCTTCGTTTCAATTATAAATAAAATTTAGGAAATGTTTGTACATTGGATGCGTCAATATTAGTTGTTTTGGACAATGACCGACCAACTGCACCAGCAGGTCTGGATATTAATGGACAGTCACCATCTTCCTATTACGGTGGTGACTTGTCCTCAAATGCAGTGCGGATGGCATGTTCCAACATAGCGACAACGTCCGCTCAAGCATGCACAGCTTGCTGTAAAATGGCATGTAAACACTACACCATAAGTGTGGTAAGCTCCCACTCATTTTTTAATACCAATGAAATGGAACATGATGGGAAATGAAAATTTATCGAAAATTAAGAAAGTCGATGGGCTGTGCAACTGGAAACTAAATAATCGAAAAAAAATGTTTATGGATTGTCTGTTTCAGGGAGATGTTTATGGATTCCTCATAAATTCGACAAGACTCACCGCCGGTCAATTCCCAGATATTACGCTACCGGCATTTCAGGGAATGGTTAGTTTTTCCAAATACATTAATTAAAACATTATAATCCGCTAAAATTTCTAAGAGAGAATGTTTCAGCAGCACCAAGGATCGATACCGCCACAAACCTTACCACCACTGCCACCAGTTTCTTGTGTGTGTTGTGGACCACGACGTTATTTCACCAGTTGGCCTTCTTCGGCACCTAATCCACCACCACAACAAATGTGATCGAGGGCACTATTGAATGGTCAAAGTTCCATAAGTGATCATTAAAATTTTTACTTCATATATTTAATCACCAACATTATCCATGCTCTGTCTTTTCGTTAAACAGAAACTTCGAGTTTTTTTATCATTAACTTCATTTATGACTGAAAATACGACTAATTCACAAAATATGATTATCTCAATCAGAAAAATTCGAGGAGCTTCTTGGACGTTATGATTTGTGGAATTCTAAACCATTTTTTAAACCAGATTAAATATGATTACTACCGATTTTTTGTAAGAGTTGGTTACATAGCTCTTTCTGACATATGCAATGCTGATAAAGGAGTGCACACTTCTTTACAACCTTTGAAAGTTCTTGGCTCATATTCAACTCATCGTTTTCCTAGAAATTTCTGATACAACCTTGACAACATAGGGTAAAAACAAGATTGAGCGCACAAATTTTTCTTCAGACTAATGTATACTCTCGAAGCAACAGAAATATAAATTTAATGGAGCGCAGAAATATATTAAATAAAACTTTGCATGCGGATCACTTATATATTATTTCATGCAGAATACCTCAATTTGGTACAGTAATCAAATCGATCAATTTTTTACATCAGCCAGTGTTGTTACAACATACTGTATTTCACCGCCGCCAAGACATTCGCTATCGTTATAAAAAACACAAATCTGAAATTGACCAATTTGCATACCAAAACAACTCCACAATCCTTTCCGTTATAAAATTAAAAATGAAACCTGGCCAGGCGCAGCTGCTCGAATTGGATTATAGGGCTTAACTTTTAAAAGTCCCTTTTCTAGCCGAGTAATTTCACAAAGAAGTGCGGGATGTGTCCTTTGGCAACGAAATTCTGTTTTTATAGTGCCTAGAAAGACAAATTTCAACATACTTATAGAGCAGTCAATAAATAAGATACTGTAAAAATGTGGGAAAAAGTAAGAAACGAACCTGTATCACCCAAAGGACATTCAGATATCCAGAGGGGTTCTTCAACAACAAATTCACGAGCAAATAAAGCTGGATGATGAGATCCCTGACACTAAAATATCCGGAAATTTTAAAAACAATTTGATAAAATACCCTTATAGGAACAAAGATGATTCAAAACTTCATAATTCAGCTCACTGTCACAAAAAGTCGTTATACAGAATCATTACTGGATACTTTCCCTGCATCAAAGTTCCTCATTAAAAGTAAGAAAGTTTTTGATGCAATCTTTACAAATTCTATAACAAAATACGCTAGAAAAAAGACAAACCACCCAAAGAGTTTGAGTTTTACCATCAAGACCAACAGCAAACAAACCAACTGCACTTTGACAATGATCAGGTACCATTGTAATGCGTTTACCAATTGTATAGTGATGTATACCTTTGTGCTCAAAAACAACTTTACCAGTATCGATGTCTTTCGCTGGACCAATTACAGGTTCAATATACTGTAAAACTCCTATATTTATTGTTTATACATACAGATCGGTATAACCTCTAATAAAACTTTTCCTTTTTTTTTCAAACTATTTACAAAAAATCTCTGATGAGACTTACTGAATTTCATCATTTTGTCTCACCTGATTAATAAATGTGTCGAAATGTTTTCTTTTTCCAATAAAACAAAGTCCCATACTCTAGAAAATTTATATCAATTACAAGACAGTCATTTTCCCTTAACGTTAAGATAAATACAATTCTGTACCTCACCTCGTCACCAGAAACTTACTGGTAATAGAAAAACGGAGGAAAACAATAAAGGCAAAAGGAAACTCACCTCTGGCTTTTCCGCAATTTCAGCCATCCCAACATCAACCGCAATTTGGCGTACTTGTTGCTTTGTTAACGAACCTATTGGAAACATTGATCTCCTCAACTGCGATTGAGTTAAAGTTGACAGGAAAAATGTTTGGTCTTTGATAGGATCCACAGCAGCAAGCAATCGAATCACTGACACAATAGAGAAAAATTATGATATGAAAACTCATATATTTCTCATCTAAACTAAAATAAAAGTCGGGAAATTACAACACTAGTCATATAACACTGGGAATGAAAGCTATAAAGTCATGATTTCTACTTCCCTGGACATCAACTCAAACCACCGCAGTACGTAATTATATAAAGCATTTACTAAATTTATTCACTTACATCCAGTCTCCAAACGCTTCTCCAAAAAATCACCAAAACTTGTCCTTGCAAAATGACCTGTTGCAACAGCATCAGCTTGAAGCTCATCAAATGCATATTTATGAAATCGATCGAATTTTATCGTTTTATTGCAAAGAACATCAGATACAACCGTTCTTCCTTTACGATAATTATCCAGTAAATATCTAGACGGAATAACAGTCCTTAGTTTGCATCTCTTCAAAATACATTAAAAAGCTACTGAAAAAAGAGAAGCAGGGAGTGAATTTAATTAAATCCATCTTATCCTTGTAAACCTTAAAATAGCATATGTTTTAGCTAAGTTTAAACTTACGTAAAAATTTCGTTCCAATATCTGTCTACAAAATTGGCCACATAAAAAGGTATTTGTAAATGGTTGCACACTTTTTCCGCATCTTTCTCGTCCACAGATTGCGGACATTTGCTTGAATCCTCCTCAACACGATCCCAATTCACCTTAAGAGAATTGCTTAACGCTTAACCAATGCAACATTTCTCTCTAAAATACTGAAATATATTTTATAAACATACTAGGAAATTTCTCAACTGTCCCCGAGTGTGATAGCTAAGTGTATAGATACGACCATACCATATGGACGCCAATTACATCAAATCCGCGCTTTTTCAACAAATATGCAGAAACCGCACTGTCGACACCACCAGAAATTGCACATACCACTTTCCGGATTTGTTTCATTGTTACCAAACTTATTGTTAAAGTTTCATTTGAAGAAACTAGTCTGAAGGAATCGAAAAATAACGACACCAACATCGAATACACAATAGAAAAAAAAGGAAGGCCACGAGAACAATAATGATAAAACAGGATTAATGAGAACGCACAGCAGACAATACTAACAAGTCGTTCACCAGCGATATCCGAAGATGAAGCAAAACAATTGTAATGACACTAGTGACACTAGTAATAACATAATAACACTAGTAAGTTGCGACACCTCTTTCAGGATAATGACATATAGATCACTACCTCATAAAAACATTACAATCAATGGCTGAACAGTATTATAGATAACCAACCCTTTTAATTATGAAGAATTACGACTACTTCCCTTAACAACCCAAACAACACTATCCTTTCCACATCTCAGAACTTCATTCACAGACGTTCTATAATATCTAAGAAACATAACGTAGCATGATAGTAAGTAAAACTGACTACGATGATTGCACTTCAAAACAAAGAACAAATTTTACATTCAATTTTTTATTCAGCATAAAAACAGCTTATTCGACAACCAATCAATATTAAATATACAAATTTAATATAAGACACCTATTCGTTAGTTATACAATACCTGACTAATAATCATTTCGCTTGTTCCAAACGTCGTTTTTCTGTATCGTCCTTGACTGCTCCATCCGGTTTTTTGTCTTCGTTTGTGAGACCAAGCTGCATAAATTATGTAAAACATTTTTTCCATTGGGAAATAATTTTTAAATATCATCTCTAAATGCATAAACCACTGAGTGAGAAGTAATGCAGCACTTACCTTTTTTAGTTCTTGTGAAAGTCGCATATCTTCCTTTGCTTTTAATTGCTTCATTTTCTCTAATCTTTCAAGCCTTTCTTTTTCATCTTCATCCTATAAAGAATGAATACTTCACCAAGCTGAGCAATTAAAAGGTAAATTTCAAAGAAAAGAGAAAATTTATTAAAGAATGGAATGCAACTTACCATTAAACCATCTTCCAGACGAACATGTAATTCAGTCTTGAGCTGCTGCTCTCGCTTTTTTTTCAAACTTTCAAACGATGGTAGTTTCGGTTCTTTGTAGAAACCCAACATTGCATCGCGAAGTTCATCTATATCTTTCCTCCTCACAATCTAAAAGTAGAAAACTAGGAATACTAAAAACTTATACACATTACAAACTAAACTTCTCCTCAAATTGGTTTTTATATCGCAAATGGATTAGAAACGACTGTGAATGCAATTTTATTGCAATTGCTCACTTCGCAGACACTTCAACTTATAGTAGAATCGTAACATCACAGCGAAATCTCATTTACATATAATATTACTTCCATAGTAACAACGAAAAATACTGCGTTGATAATTCAATTGTTTAAACTAAAACTAACACTAAAATGAAAATGCAATCACGATGCATAAAAATTAATTTGAAAAAATGAAACTGAAAAAAAAATCATACATATTGTTTTCCTTCTGCTCGAATGGCCTAAAATATTGCCAAATTCTGTTAAAAGTTTCTTCGCCAATCCTCTGCATGGCCTATAAATACCATACAGAATCAAATATTAATCCATTTGAGTACAAAACACAGTGTATGAACAGAAATAGCACAGTACCGGATGCTTTTCTAAGCTTTCTAGGATCTGAGGAAGTAAGATATCTTTTTGTTCTTCGCTTAATTTTAATACGAAATCTTTGTCGCATCGTGCTCGCAGGATCTGCAAAATGATACGAATTAACTGCCAAAATACAGACAGGAGCAAATATAAGAAGAGTAAAATCATCCTTTTTATGCGATTCAAGTTAGCCAAATCACTGATACTTTTCATCAAAACAGTAAGTGCTATATGGCAACCAAAATGAACAAAGGTAACGCCATATATCCTAGTTACTCTCCACTCTCGGTTCTATCCATCAAAAATTGCCTCAATAGCTTCGCGAAACATTAATTTCCCTTTTGGCATTTTGTCCAGTGGAAGCTCATAAAATCCGAATTCCCATATTTGATCATTCCTACGAACCCATTCTGTATCTTTTGATCGCAATTCTCTGCAAAAAGATATGACATAACAGAGAGTGTAGAAGTGTAGAAGCATTTAATTTTTTTTGAGAACATCTCTGTAATATTTTTAATAAGAAAAAAAAGCTACTTGGTCGGTGTCCAACGGTTTTTCGGTTCGGAAGAAGTTACTGTGATTTTATTCATATTGTCTATTAAAATATCGTTTCGTTTTTTTATTTCCTACAAGAAAAAAATCATAGCACAAAGTAATAGGACACAACAGAATAAAATCAAAGCTTGTCGGAAATTGCTTTTAATAATTTTTACTACAAATGCTGCGTCAAACAAGTAGCAGTCTACAAATATGGGGATTTTTTTAAAAGCCTTTAATGCAAGACAAAATGCTTTAATTTGTGGCACAAGTTTATACCTGTGTAATTCTTTCATCAGCTTGGATTTTTTGAAAATTCTTTTGTTCCGTTGGATATCGCGGTGCACGATGGATAGTCTATAAATCAAGCACTCTTTTGAATCAGCTTAATATGCCAAAGCAAATTAAGCCAAATTTCTTACGTCTTGATCATACAACTTCCCATTCTCAAAAAAAAAGTACTCCCCATTCTCAAAAATCTCATAAGCTTTAGTAATTCCAAAGATGAAAACACATTTAATACGAGAAAACAGCTCAACATTGCCATGTATAAAAAAAATATTAGAGGAAGGAAGAATTACCGCAAGAAAAACTACATGTCGGAGAAGTTGCCATACACAAAAGATCACAATAGGTAAGGAAAAGTTACCACATCAGCGGAATAGTAAGAAAATAATGCTTAGACTATTCCCACAAGCAAAATTCAAATACTCTGTACTGAAGTTAATGATGCTTTCAAAATAATTTGAACAAAATGATCCACACATGGCCGAAATGACATTCAAGCATGAGCTAAAGCTAAATCAACTGCATTCCATTGCTTTCCGTTTCCCATGCTTTCCGATTTTCCGACATGCAATATTATAAACAATTACCCAAATAATTTAATAATATTATTAATCTACATGATGGAAACGAACGTTGGTTTTTTCCATATCTTCAGCATATTTAATTGCTTTTTGCTGATATTTCCGATTTTTCACCGTACGTAAAACTGACTTCCAAATCTTCTTCATTTCATAAGAAAATACCACCGCATTCACTAAATCACGGTCACGTGACCAACTTCGATCAGTTGGGAAATCAAAGGTACAGTAAATACCAATCTACCACAAGATAGTGAAAATGCCACCTGCAAAAAAGTTTTGAAGTAGGAAACATCTTGCCAATAGTAAAAGGGTGCCACAGCTTCTTAGAACTCATTTATTCGAACATAATTACTCCAAAAAAGAGATAATTTAGAGTTCACAAAAAGCCATTCGGCTTAACACAAGAATCAATCCTTAACTTTGAATAGTCAGTACTGTTTGATCAAAGGCAATGTAGCCTCAAATAATGGACCTCACTTCCATAGACGCCACTACATCAAATACCATTACATCAAACTTCCATAAATGCCATCAAAGCTATCAAGTTTGCTTGATATCCTTCCCCACAGCTATCAAGCAAAATGGGTAAAGATGAAGATAAGCCCATAGAAATATTGCCAAACATTATTTGAATGTGATTCTTAACGAATCATAAAATGAAAATAAACTATAATAAAAGGATTTTCAAATTAATGGAATTTTAAAGTGTTTAAATTAGAGATTATGAGGAAAGTATAGCATACGATTATTAGAAGGTAAAAGATAGCGAAATGTCATGCATTTGAAGGAGTCAGAACTGTATGAATTCATAAGAAGCGTTGTAATAGAAGAGATATTAGGGATGGATAAGAAATGTGGCAGATGATGTGACGGTGGACTGAAAAACAGTAGGAAATAATGGTGATTATTTACATCAGTGACACATATTATATTCTTAGATATGATGGCATATACTTTCAGAATTCCATTCCACTTTCAACGAATTATTTTAAATTACTAATGAAGCACTCGGGACATTTCTGTTCCAACCAAATCTGTAATCGGAAATGTAATATCTTCCCCTCCCTCACCTGTTACTAATTATCGACGAAATAGTACGCAGTGAATAGAGATCCAACTACTAGGCGAGACGGCGGTACGATGGAATTTGGTGGTAGGCGGAGCTTTAGTTAGCGAAGATTCCTATTGATCGCGGCCCATAACAAGCGTTCCGGCGGTCCGTGGCCCTGTTGCTTGTCTGCACTTTGCACGCAAACAGCTCTCAGTTTGGGGGCGTGGCGCGTGGGTTGATTGCTTGAAATTACTTTCTGTATGTAAAAAATGTCTTTTCATTCGTATCGGTGAAGATGATAAAATTTAAAAGGGTACTTTCTTTTATAGTAAAAGGGTAGAGTAATGCCGGGAGGGAGTAAAAATTTGCGTCCAACGCTACGACGACGTTCAGCTACCGCTGCATTGGAAGATGTTGATGTGCCATCAGAAGATGTTGATGTGGGAGGCGGAATAGGTGATAACGAGGTTCATGAGCTGGTCGATGTTGAGGGTGATGCAGCGCCTAACTTCTCTCAGGGAACAACACCAACAACGAGTAAAATCAAACTTTGTAAAAGGCAAGTAATATCTACTAATTAGTTCCAGCAAGTAATATCTACTAATTAGTTCCACTTATTACGATTTTTTTTTCTGGATTTCAAAAGTTATTCATTACGAGAATGTTCAAATTTAGAGAGATTGACGAAGATGAGGATGAAACTCAACGAGTAATGAAAATCCGTCGTATCACGACTCCAGCATATGCCATTCGGCGAATCGATCGGCGTATTTGGCCAAACGAGGTACCCCGAAAAAATTATAATTGCGGGAAGACGACTGCATATAGCGTAAGAAAGGAGCAAGAATTGGCACCCAATCCAAATAATCCTCATTTCTGTTTTACGGGTCATCAGCGTCTATATCCATATCGGTTTTATCTCGACCTTATCCGTAAGTCGATTGACTAATTGGTTTTACTGGCAATACTTTGAATTTTTAAAGAATAAAAGTGATTGCTTTTTTTTTTGCTTTATTTTTCCAAGTAACCAAAAAACAAGGACTAGTCGGTGAAAAATTGTACTCTACTTATCTGCTATTTTATATTATCTTCAGGAAGAGCGAAAAGAGACCCGTCAATCATCAGTTTGGATATGCCAAAGTTAAGACCTGTAGGAGGAACGATAATTGTCTACGACTGTCATGGGTTAGAATTTTGCGACATTTGAGATGTTGCACTTAATCCAAGCATTAGTTTGAAGTGACATACGCTTCTTGCAAAGTGGCATAGAATTACGCTTGATTCATTTAAAACATGTGATTTTTAAAATAAGCACATTTTAGAATTGACCAAAATCGTGCCCTGCATAATGATGGCTATCGCTGGGGTCGCTCAAAGGGTGTGAAATTGATTCAAAGTGTTGGCAATAGACTTGTACGCACATACCATTTCCTTTATGATCCGAATAATCCAGCTGGAGATCCGAGTTTCAAGTATGCTCATTCATTCAAGAACTTATTTATTCATCTGTTTATTTACCATCATTTCATTCATTTGTCTGGTTGTTTGTTTTTTTTTTTTCACTTATTTGCAGATGCGTTTCTCGATACTATCAGCTTATTCATTTACTGATAGTAAAAGATATGTTGATTATAGAAAATTTAATGGGATACCTGAATTTATGAAGTTTCTCAGTTTTGAAGAAATAACACTGACTTCAGGAAGTATCGTTTTTCTCTGAAAGGCGAAAATTATGGTATAATGGTCATGCATTATATTGGTGACGAAAAACATGCGGCCGAAGTTTCAGCCAGAGTAAGGATTATTCTTTAAACTAACAGATATGCAATAAGAAATACAAACAGGCTTCTACAAGTGTTTGTTATTTATACACATAATTGCTGAATGCATGGCAATAAAGCAGCATTTTTCTTAGAAAAATTGAATTCTTCCATAATTGATCATATGTAAATTTGGGGGTTTGATTTGAGTGGAATCAATTGCTGTTTTTTTCTGTGCACTGTTAGAAAATATTTGGCTAAGGTTATCAGTAACTTTGATTTTTTTTTAAGTGCATGCGAAACAATGATCCAATGGCTATGTTAGCATACAGTGAAGCACAACAAGGAGTTGAAGATTTGCATTCGTTACATTTGTTACCGTTACCTATGTTGAATGAACACTCATCTGAAGAAGAGCGAAACAAATTTCGTCAGACCCTATTGTCTAATATTCAGAGCCTTCAAAGGCAGTTACTGGTACGTGAATTTTTTAGTCTTTTAATGAAGCTTATTAATGGTCATATTATTCCTTATGAATATTTGTGAATCAAATTTGATCCATTTACTTATTTACTGTTATTATTTTCACATCAATTCTATTTTTCAATTTACTCAATGTGGATGTTAATAACAGGTTTCATATCGTCCATATTGCAGTATGAAAATGAGGAAACGTTTGTGGAAAGAGTTGAATTCGATGACTGTGGGGTGAGTGTAGTTTATTTGTTTTGTTATCCGTTGGTGGAGCAGCTAATTGCTGTGGCAGGTTATTTACAACAAGGTACTCCGTTTCGTACCGTTCAGCTTTTCTACCATACCGAGCCAGTTACTGTCGATTATCACCTTTCAACGCTTGCGTTCATGCATCCATTTTTTGAAGGTCAGGTTTGTGATATTTATTGTCATTTATTTGCTTATATTTGTATATGTATATATACATATTTTAAGTTTGTAAAAAGTGATTGGATTCTGTTATAGGTGATCAAGTATTACCTATAGCTTTCATGGTCAGCTCGACTACTTCACCGGATCGTTGTGATGATCATGATAGTTTTTTGTCAACATTATACGATAGATTTAATGAGCTTCTTAATGGACGTTTTGTGATTATCACAGGCCAAAGTCTTTGCTTCACGCCTGATGCTTTTCCAGTTCGTCTTTTTCTTTCTGTCTGATTTTGCATAATTCACTTGCTAAATGTTTACTGTGTTGTTTTTTTTAAATTTCCTGCTATTTACTTTTTTTTTTAGGTTCGTTTGGTACATATCAGAGAGTTTCAAAGGCATTTTTTGTGTTTTGATAAAATTGATAAGGTTGTCAATGATAAGGTTTCAGATTGCTGAACACATCCGATGCTGGGATGATTTCAAAAGAGTCAAACTCAGCTATATTGAAACTCTTTTTGGAGGAGCTAATCTGAATGAATATGCCAGTGATATGAATATTTTGATGAGCTGTACCTATGAGAAACTTTTTGATGAGGTAAGTGTGAAAGCGGAGTTAATTTTGCTTTAATTCTTCGGTTAAAGATGCTGGCTGGTTTTTCGGTTAAAATGAATGAAATGTAAAGAAATGGGATGGACCTTAATTGATTTAAATTGTACATAAACTCTTCATATATTATAGATGTGGGGAAAAATAAGTGCATGCAAACGTTATACTGAACGTCCGGATGTATACAGTTATTTTGATAATGTTTGGAGTGATTTTAAATTTACGAGTTCCATTTGGCATTTGAAGAACTGCGGTGTTCCAGATGCTGATAAGGGTATAACTTGGCGACCGTGTAAAGGTTTAAGTAAGGTAATTAGTGTATTCCACTTGCAGCAAAAAGTCTGGATTGTACGTGTCTAGACTGTACATGTCTAGACTGTAGTAAGCATAAGTTAAAGGAATTTTTTTGCTTTTTCAAAAGATAATAGCAGAAGATATTTGGGTTCGTTTTATATTTTTAATATGCAGTTCTTTCTTTCCAGCTGGTTTCACAGCTCTGCGATAGTAACGCTCTGCTTGATACTATTATTATATCGCTGTTTTTGTTGTCAAATGCATATCGAAGGTTATTTATTGCTGGGTTACACCAGTCAGGTGCATGGCGATTAAAAAAAATGTTATAGAGAGCGTTTCCAGCAGAGTCATTTGAAGGTATTATACTTGTTGAATAAATTTCAGACTTTAATTTCAATATAGATAGAAGATTTGTTATGTCATTTCAAATGAGAGTCAATTACTTTGTTCTGGATCCATTACTCATTGTTTTTCCGTATTTTGTTATTGCAGTTCAATCCTTTGTCAAGTTTCTTTTTCTTCTTTTCAGTTACCCAAATTGCCCTACGCACCAGCCATGGAAAATATTGTGATGACCGCATTCAGTATGTGTCCAAATCGCTCTTACAAACGGTTATCGCATGATGGAGTAAATGATAATTCAACATTGTCAACCTGCCTTGATAATGAGTATCAAACTCATCCTAGTTCTCTAGTTAGCCAAATTGATTTACCTTCTACAAGGTAAGCAGATTTAATTGTTGTTAATAGATTGGTATGTTTTGGCTATCTCGTAATGTCAAAATACTGTGAAAGTCTTTAATCTATGTATAATAGTGTTCTAAATTTCCCTAAATATAGCGTTACCTCAAGTAAATTGAAACTATTTTCACAGGAACTACTTTTATTTGCTGCTTTTAGATGCAGTTTAGTTAACTGTGATTTTTTATAATCAGCACTGTTTTGCAGTACTTTGTTCTGGGAAGGGCATCCTGGATCAAATTTTGAGTTTATTATCGATGCCGATGATTCGCGCTTGCCATATTCTAGAAAGTGAGGATTATTTCTCTTTCCTCCATAATAACCCATTTGATTTTCTAAAATGTTGGTTTAAAAACTTTTTTTGTAGAGTTCCAGCAAACTTTTTCAGCGCTTATGTACGTCTCGTTAGTCCAATGACTTTTGCGGTTCGAGCAAGAGATGGTTCACCGCATGTCGTAGAGGCGACACATCGTGATGATCTCGATTCATTACAGTGGTACTGTAGTTGCGGACTAAGGCAACGATGCAGTCATATCGCTAGTGTTATGTTAGTTCTTTAATCCTTATTTTATCATTAATCTATTTCAGGAACTGATTGAAATAAATATTTAGACGTTAAAAATGTGAGTGTCGTTCGAAAACTAATATTTTCTGTAACTAACGTATGGTTGCCTTAATACCAAATTGTTTTAAAAGTCGGGGTAGCAATGCTATAATCAAGTAACAATGAATTTCTGTGTTCTGGTTGCGATTGATCAAATTATATATAAGAAATTCTGTCCTTCAATGTTTCAATTTTATATTTAAATCTTTTTTTTTTAGCCAGAAGATCAACGATTGAAGAACGCACTTGTAATATGTTGATATTTTGTTTATCGGAAATACTGTCTTTTTGTTTGTTATGAGGTTCGAAGTTATTTTATGTTGGAATCCATTTCACTGGTAATTTTGAAATTTTTAATTTTAACGACGGTTTTTGTTTCCATATTGCTTTAAATCGTTGTTTTGGAATTGAATCGAGTTACTGTGGGATTGTCATTCACCATCAACAATTCTGGTTTTAGTAAATAAAATGCTTTTGCCGTTTTCGCTCCACTGTGTTTTGAAATTAAAAAAATCCGTCGGATTATTTTGAACCTTATGCTTCACCCACTAATTAGTTAATCCAGAAATACACTTCATAAAACAACAGGGAAACTGAGCAATGATTAATAACCAGTAATAAATCAGTTACTTCAAATGAGAACAATACAAATTTTCTATTTTGAACGCAGTTTGTTGACTTCAAGTTGCATGTGCACAAAGGTAAATTTAAGAAAAAAACGGTGCGTCGGTCTGAGTTGCTGTGTATGTCTTTATAATTCTTGAAAATTGTTGGGATTACATGTATGATCATTATGCGTAGAAATTCCCTCTTCGATGCTGTCAGAGAAATTAATTTTTCTATGGTTAGTCATGTTATCCTTTTGTTCCAATTTTCATGCAAATTAATGATTTTCCTATTTTTTGTATTTCATCGACATTGAAATGATATCCATAATTTGTCTTATTGTTCACTACTGAGATCATTTACATTTCACTAATGGAAAAAACGAAACTAAAATCCAACTAAAGACCTAGAAATTAATGAGACGCCATTTGTTTGAACTTAATGTCATTTCGACTTCCAATCTTGATCGGAAAACTAGATTTCCGGTATTTCTGTTATCGATTTTCCCATTTAAAGCTGGAATTCGGTTATGCCTAAAATATGCTTGAAACGCACAATCACAATCAAACTTCAGTAAGGCCTTCTAGTTCTACGGTAAGGGCTCATTATACTTTGTGAACTTTGCCCTGTTCAATAGATAGATATTCGAGAGAATGCCCGTGTTATTTTCTCATTGTTATGGGATTTTGATTTTTTTTTTATTTAATCAGAACATGAAATGAAAACATAAGGATATTAATGATTACATACATCACTGTTCCTTCGTAATGTACCGAATCAGGCAGGAAATGAGCTAGTTTAAAAAAAAAAAGAGGTTAAGAAATACGAAATGTAAAATTTAAACTTTTTACTAATGTACTTT